GATTTGCCCCCAGATCTCGTACACTATGAGCAGTGATATGAACTCTTGTGACGGTAGAGCGGAGGGGCCACAATGAATGGTCAAGCACGGAGGTAAGGGAAGGCTCCACAGGCTGAGAAGATACAGTCAGAGCCTGTGTCTGAAGCTATTAAATCCACAGCCATCTATTACTTTGACCCTAGGCAGGAACCTTCAGATTAAATTATAAATGAAAGCGGTGCTATTATCAGTTAAATTAAGTTCCCGAGGCCTGAGCTCTGACACTGTCTGCAGCAGGAGAACAAATGGCTGACACATCCCAGGGCCAGCTTGGCACTCGCTCTTCATAAATAATGTACCAACCACCAAACTTCATTAAAAAATTCTGGGTTTAGCACTTGAAATTCAGCTGCGCATTTTGTCAGGGAAAACTCCACGTATTCACATCTGCGGTCACCTAAAAATACCCATCTCACAGAGTAACTGACATGTATCTGCCACCAGGGGCTACCTGAGCCTCGTGAAATAATTCCACTATTTTCAGTTGTCTGTACTTGTTTTGTTGGCTCGGTTTTTTCGGCCTTCCCCTGAAAGCAACCAGGGTACACTCAACATGACTCTGTTATTCCCCTGTTTCCAGTCACCCTGGCCAACACTGCTGGCTACTGTCATTTATGCAGTGACAAGAATGGCCAGTGACTTCCTAAGCAACAGGATCCAGCACCAAATTCAGAGTGCATGTTATTTCATGAGTCCTCAGCCTCATGGCACACACTCACTAGTTTGGCAAATGCAGAAAAAAAGACAGAATGCATCTCACAGGGTGCACGATGGGCAATGCAGGGTGAAGCAGTGTGAACGCTGCTGTTACATGCTGCTTCTGATTATTCTAAGCACACAGCCACACCGTTTGCTCCCGTGGAAGTTATTCCAAACCTTCTCCTTTTCAGCAGATTCAGACACCTACTTTTTATCCAAAACTAAGCACAGATCAATCATAGCCCTTTCATAAGCTATTGTGACGGACTAAAAGGTGTACTCACGTCTGTGGGTATTTTAGTTGTTAGTTTAAAATCCTGTGTATGCTGGAGAATGAAGTCAAAGTATTATTTTACAACTAGTTCTTGTATGTCGAGTCTATGTAGACTACCTAGGCTTTCTACTCTGCCTGTAGGAAATATGCCTGCTCTCTTATTTGGAAGACGGTTCTCTCTGTGAATATAAATATGCAACAGGGCAGAGTTAAGGAGCTGTACTGCGATGCCCTGGTATTAAAGTTTAACTTGGTAGTCCTGACAGCTGGTTAACAGGTTTCCAGCTGTGCAAGACACAAGCCTAAATGAAGCAGAAACCGCTGATGGCTCCTTGGCTACCTGGTGGTGAGTTCCAGCCCCACTGACTCTGTAATCCAGTGCCTTTCTTTCAGGGGGCATCAGCATCAAGATAGGGTTGCCCTCATAAAGAAATAATATATAAGATCTAAAATGCCTGAAGAACAATTTCTAGTAAATATAAATATGAACATATATGCATGTAGATGCCTTCCACCCAGTCTACTATTTCAGATTTTAAGGGACTGATGAAGCAGCGGAATTTTATTGAACTTGGGAAATGGAAACATCAAATGTAGTTTGGATTGCTACAAATATAACTTACACCCTCCCCGTGGAAATTCAAAATAGTTACTACAGCGAAACAACACAAAAATAATATTAAAGCACTTCTGTGTATTTATAATACAACCTCCTGGCTCTGTGCCACGGAACTTCCATGGGAAATTCTGAGCCGGCTTGTCATTTTGATCAAAATTCTCTCTAAATCAGAGAGGAAAGTTTCACAATGCTGTACTGTGCTATTTAATCTTGCCTTCAGAGAAAAATCAATCACCAGTCCTTTCTGATTACTGCTCTTGAAATGTGCAGCAATTGCTCTTTCCAGTCACTTATTAGGAATAGCTTGTGTACCACATTAGGTACATATTTTACCTGCTGTGTTATCAGCTTGCGGGTCATGTTTGAGACAGGCGTAGTAGTTCATTTTAGGAAAATTCGAGAAAGGCTGGCTAGGATGAATGCAAGACTTCTCACTCATAGGTGAAACACAACTAAACCCCAATCCAGCTCCCTTTCATGTGGAGTTAAAGATGTCTCTTCATAATTTCTGCTAATCTAAGAGAAAATATGTTACCCCAAACATTACAAATAAATGGCTATAACGGTACTGAAAACGTTCCTCTGCCTACCCTCCCAGGGACGTTTCCTGGGGCAGAATAAAATTAAAACAGTATTTGGTTCAATCTCACTATTTGCTTTTCACTATTTGAACTTACTCAACTTTGACAGATTGTGACAAATTTTGTTTCTGCTCACTCTTAAAACTTTGCATTTTAGATATAGTGAACCTGCCATGGTTTTGAAGAACTTAATACCCATCTGGAATTGCCTCTTCCGTCCTTAGTTTGCTCATACAAAAAAACCTCCCAGCAAGCCTAGGTGTATGACTGTACCATATGTTCAAGCCTACAGACTAGGGAGGAAACAGGACAGTCTGGTTTTATTTGCACAAAAGCCTCAGAAACTGCTGGAAAATGGAGTTAGGTGACCACATTTCTCAAACTCTGACCTGGTTTAAAAGCAGAGCTGAAACCCATGCCATCTATTCCACAAAATCCTACCAAATTAAGTGTACGTGAGAAATTCCATAGCTGCGAGTTTATGGGTTTAGAGGAGCAGAGCTAAAGGATGGGGTATTAGAGCTGGACTGCTCTTTCCTACTGCACAGGAGGATTTTTATCACTAGATCAGCAGTGGTGCTTTGGCCTGCCTTCAACCACATATTTCCACAGCAACCTCGCTGGACTCGGAAAAGGCTTTGAACTTCCCAAACGCAGAGGCAGAGTTAGGGCCCCTCTGCAGATCCCTCTTCCACATCCCAACAGCCAAACTCGACTTGTTTCAGCCTACACTGTGCTCTCTCTGGATGAACAGACACTGCTCTCATAGCACAAAAGGTACCAGAGCAAATTCGGAGGGCAGCAAAAAAAGAAAACCCAAAAAACCCACAGGAAAAAAATACATGCTAGGGTTGATCCTAATGATTCTGCTCTGTTTGACAATAATTCACATTTCAGTAAAATACTGCCAAGTTAGAAGAGAAGCATTTTAAACTGATTTTAGTCATTATATGCTTACTATGTGTAAAGTAAGGAGGTCAATTAATTACCTTTCAAAGTTTTCCTGTACGTTTCCTTGCTCTGAAACCCTTTATTTCACCACTAGGAGCTGGATTTCTTTTCTCCTTCTCTTTGGCCACCCCCCACCCCCTGCCACTGGCTTCCCACAAAGAATGTGCATCTCTTACCAACAAAGATTAAACAGGGAGACATAAATCCAGCAAAATTTGACATGCATGTGAAAGAGGGAATATAAACAAATTACAGAATCAACCTGCTCACAGAGAATGATAGATTTGAATTCCTCTATTTAACTTGCAAAATGAAGGGGAAAATTTCCAACTGTTTTAAAAACTAGAGGCATATTGGTTCCAGCTGCCACTAATCCTCCTTTTCTGTAGTGAGGCCATCAAGCAGAATGAAACAATACAGTATTTTGACACTGGATACCGAACAGCTGCACCCCATTTTCAAAGGCAACAAAGTATAGCAGCACTGCTAAGCTGCATCAGGAATCAGGGATGAGGATCAAATGTTAAGTTTCTGGGCAGCCTGCATGACAGCACTTCTGAGAACAAAAAAACAGTACAAATATTTGATTTTGCTCAGATTTGTTTTCTAGTTGACCTTGAAGCTATGCAATTTCATCTCTGTATGCTTCCTGACTCCCCTGCTGTCCGGAGTGGTACCCTGAAGCACTCCTCTGACACTGGCGTTGGACAATCATCTGCACAGCACCTGAGAAAACCTGGTTTTTATGCTCATAGGGAAGGTATTCATAAAGGATTTGAGCAGCCTGGTCTAGTGGGAGACGTCCCTGCCCATGGCAGAGGAGTTGGACTGGATGATCTTTGAGGCTCCTTCCAACCCAAACCATTCTGTGATTCCCAGAAATTTGTAGTTTTAGGCAGAATGCCACCGAAAACCACGTTTTTTCTAGGCATGTATAAGAATGTAATGACTACATTATTGGCCCAGACCAAAGGTTACCCACAATGGATGGATGATGGCAGAGCGGTGGATGTGGTCTACCTTGACTTCAGTAAAGCCTTTGACACAGTCTCCCACAGAATCCTCACAGCTAAACTGAGCAAGCGTGGACTGGACAAATGGGTAGTGAGGTGAACTACGAACTGGCT